CTGAAGCATATGCTTCTGGCATTGATATTTATGAGATTTTGGTTGCGTGTTCTAGTTCTTGTCCAATAGTGTTTAATAAACTGTGGGGAACTGTTCTGTTTTCATTTGGTTTCTTCATTCCTGCCTCAGTGATAACAGGAATTTATGTAAAAATCTTTGAGGTGTCTAAAAAACATCTGAGGGTCATGAAAAGTTCAGGCGCCAAAAATTCTAACCAGCTTTCTAAAAGCACAGACAGGAAAGCTACTAAGACCTTAAGTATTGTGATAGGTGTTTTTCTCTTTTGTTGGTTTCCATGCTTTATCACAATTTTAATTGACCCTTTTTTAGGTTTTACAACTCCTGCTGTGCTGTTTGATGGCCTCAATTGGCTTGGTTACTTCAACTCCAGCTGTAACCCATTAATATATGGCTTTTTTTACCCATGGTTTAAAAAAGCACTTAGATACATCCTCTCAGGAAAGTTATTCCAACAACATTACTGTACTGCTAATCTCTTTCCTGAAAATAAATAAATAAATGTCTTCTTTATCAAACTAAGGCAGTCGGTGTGTTGGTTTTTTTAAAACCTAAAATGTTATCCTTTGTGCAAGGATTGAAAATGGTCTATAAACCTGACACCCAGCTTCTTAAATGTCATGTGGATGGAAGAAATATGGCAGAAGCCAGAACTGTGTCATCAACAATAGGGAAGGCTTCTAGTGATGACGGTCAGGAGTATATTTGCAGAAAGCTTTGACAATGGTCCACTTGATACTTCAGGAGGCACTGAATGCTCTACAGTCTGTATACACTCTTGAAAGTAAAACTATGTAAATTAGGAAGACACTACACATGCGATTTCACCCACACTATCCTGCAATCCTATATTTTATAACTGATTTAAAATTTTAGCCGTTTGACAGCTGATGCTGGCTGTCAAACCGGCTTTTACGCAAAACAGGCGGGAGGCAGCAAACAGCTGCGACCAGCGAAATCGCCTGCCACCGGAAGTCGATGTAGGTGAGAACTCCTCCGGAGCCCCAAGGATTCTCCGCGATCCAGGACGCCTTCGCTTCGGCGAAGCAAGAAGCCGCCGCCACCGCTGCAACTTGAAGTTAATTGTGAGTTTACTTGTAAGCAGACGAACCAACTTTGGAAGCTTGCTTTTTATTTTTGACTTTACTTTAACTTCTATAACAAGTTTCTCCCCGTATGTGTGGAGGAATGAGGAAAAGTGAAACT